CCCTTTCCTCTTGCTTGGGAAAGGGAGAAGCCAACTCAAGGGGTTTCATGCTCACCACTATGATTTCATCCTGCAGGGGAGCTGATATCTTGCAGCCAAGACCTGTTCCCAGCCTTGAGCCCCTCCATGGGGCACTGGGGACTCACCTGAGTATCTGCTGGAGTTCACAGCAGGATAAGTGAAGAGCAGGGCCATGCTGAGCACTGTGACCGTCATGTTTCTCTGCGGTTTGGTGAGTCCTGGATGAGGCTGGAGAAGGTGAGGGGCAGATTTATCCCTCCCAGGACTCCTCCTTTCCCTCCCTGAGAGCTCCCAGGGCAAAGCCAGACTTGGCAGAGACACCAGCCCTGGCAGCAAGCCTGGCCTAGGCACAGAGTCACCCCTGCCTCCAGCATGGCTTCAGCCACCTTAGCTGGCATCAGTCCAGCTTCCTGCACGGGGCAGCTGGACATGCAAGTGCCCAGGCATCTGGGGCTAGTGAAGGGAAGTAAAGGACCCCTGACAGCCAGGCCTCCTATGGTGTCTGCCCACTGCTCCAACACAAAAGCACCCTCCAACAGCCCCCCCAAAGCCAGATCCCCCTATCTCCCAGGGCCCCTCACCTCCCAGCACTATCATCTCCCAGCACCGCCTGCCTCCCAGGACTGTCTTTCCACCCAGGACTCCCCCAGGGATGATGCTAGCCTCAGACCAGGGGTCTCTGAGCAGAACTCTCCCTGCCCCCTCTCCATCCCTTGGGTAACCAGGGGGCTGGGAATGACCCCTCTTCCTGGGGCACGAAGGATCCCGGGCTTAGGGAACACTGGGAGGTTGGAGGACAGCTGCGGTGCACTGGCAGGTGGGGATACTGCCGGGTGACTGGGATCTTGAGTCACAGGAGGCGATGGGGAGCACTGGTGAATGCTGGGCACTGGGAGATGAGGGTTCGGCTTGAAGGAGTGCTGGGGTGGTCAGAAGGCCCAGCTCCAGCCCACCCCATTTCCCATGCACTGTAGTCCCCAGTCTTGGGCAGTCCACAGCCATGGCCTCCCCAGTGCAGAGAACGGAGCAGAATATCCCCTGCCCTGACCACCAGCCTGCCACTGCCTGGGGCCACCATACCCACCCAGGTCACTGGAGTCCCACTCTGCAGAGCTGCCTCCAGATGGTGGGTCCCAATGACTCTGTCCCCAGCAAGGCTCTGGCTCCCTGGATGGCACTCGGACACTGGTCACCCAAGGCCCTTGTCCTCAAGGGATGTCCCTTCAATGTCCTCATCCTTGGCCAGGCCAGCTCTGTCCCCGAGCAGGATGTGGCCACCCGGAGGGACACCGTGAAGCAGACGCTTGTCCTCAGGCAGCCACTTGGAGCTAATTGCAGGGACAACAGAGTTCCCATGGCAACAGGAGAGATGTTTGTTCTTGTCATCCCTCCTGTCTGTGTGTAGCTGATAAGCTTTATTTGCCTAGGGCCAGGAAGTGCTGGGGTGGTCACGGTGCCCAGCTCCAGCCCACCCCATTTCCCATACACTGCAGGCCCCAGTCTGGTCCAGTCCCCATGTTGCCCCAGGGGAGCCCAGAGGGAGCCCTGCTCAGCCCCACTGTGACATCAGAGCCGCCAATCTTGACTGAGAACTGGGCACCCATACAGCGTTGTGGGGCAGGGAAAGAGCCCACAGCTGCACGTGACTGTTGCCCCGGGCAGGGACACTCCCGTGGAAGGGCAGCGTGGAGCTGCTGCTGGAACTGGTTTTGCCTGAGGAGCCCAGACTGCTGAGGCTTAGGAGGAAGAGCTGAGCAGGGAGGCTGCCTTTGCCCAGAGATGGCAAGGAGAAAGGCACCACGGAAAAGAGTCCAAGGGACCTTAAATGTCTCCTTTGAGACCACAGCTGACCAACGGTCAGCACGAGAGGCTGCAGGGCGGAGCCACGGCCAGGCGAGTAGGTACGAAGTTGGCTGCTCGTGCATGGGGCATCAGCTTAGGACGGTAGCTGGGACACGGCCTAATACAGCCAGCAGGTCACGGATCAGCATGGGGAAGCTGACAGACGCTTCTGCACAAGAGCCCTGTGCATTGCCCATCCCCCTTCTGGTGGGCCGTGGCTGAAAGCATGGCTTGCTCTCCCAGCAAGCACTGAGAGCAATCGGCATCTTTTTTGTTTTCCTCCCACAGGAGCCTTTTCACAGAGGTGGAGCTGGTGGAACGCTTTCCTCAGTCCACTCCCAGCTCATCCTCTCGAGGGCCACCAAAGCGTCAAGACAAGGCCACAGCACTTGCAAGTAAGCTCAGCACTGGCTCTTGCTGCAAAGTCCTTGGGGTGAACTCAGAGCGCTGCACTGTGCCAGAAGTCTGGCAAAATGTCACAAGTGGCTGGGGAAATGCAGGCTGCTCTGCTCCTCACCCCAGAGAGGTGGTGCCTAGTTCTCGGTGCTTGCCTCCCTGCAGGGAGCCAAAACGCTCTTGGCTGAGCATCCTGGAGAAGAGACCTCAAGACATAGGCCTAACTTTTCTCTGGTTTCTTTGCCCAGGGACGGTCTTCAGCCTCATTTGCCATCTGGCAGGTACCTTGTGGAGATACCTGCTGATCGTGTGCATCTTCACTGTGTACGTACAACCTGTTTCTGCTGTTGGGCTTTTGGGGAGGCGGTAGCCTCATGCTGCAGGGGTCAGGGTGCAGGGAGGGAGCGGGTGAGAATTGGGCTGTGCTGCCGGCTGTGCTTCGAGCAGTGGGGACTGCTGCTGCTGCTGCCAACTTCCTCCTCTTCCTCCGCTGCAGGCTGCATCTTTGCTGTCAAGCAGAGATGGGGAAAGGAGTATGTATGTACTCCGTGTTTCTGTGTTGGACACGGGGAGAAAGGAGGTGTCTGAGGGCCCTCAGCCAGCTTCCCACTCTCACGAGCACTGCTCGTGTTGTGGCCGTTCTCAGGGAGAGCCAAGAGTAAAGCCGCTGGGCAGACTCCCTGCCACACATTCGCCAGAGGCCCAGACTTTGGTCATGGTAGGAGAACCTGCTGTGTAGCCAGACGCAGGGGTGCGGAGGCGGAAGTCTTGATTTGCTCAACCTCTTTACTTTCGGGGAGTAGTGAGTCCTGGCGTTCTTCTTTGGGGGAAGAGCTGCTGGCAGTTTTGAAAGGTGTGGACCGAAAGTGCTCCTCCTGGGCTCTTCCCTGGCAGCTGTGTTGTCAGGAGCAGGCTTCCAAAACAGTGGCTTTTGTGCCTGGAAGTGGTAATCCAGCTGGTTTGCTCGAAACTTGCCTCATTGACAGACATAGGACACCCTCCTTTTTCAGGCAAAAGATGGCCGTGCACAAGAAGAGGTTCCTGAGATTCATTGTCTTCTTGCTTCCAGTGGTTCTTGGTGAGTCTGTGTGAGCAAATATTTGAGAGTAACAGCCTGGTTGTGCTGGATGCCAGCTTTCCTTTTTGGCCCATATGTGTGGAAACTCGCATGGTCCAAGTGCTTCTGGTGTGCGTCCTTGACGAGGACTTGCTTTTCAGCTACCAGTAAGACTGGTAGCCTCCCAGCCATGCTGCTGCACTGGCCACAGGACCAAAGGGCTTGCTTAGTCTGCAAGCCTGCGAGAGAAGGGAGTATGTATTTCCAAGCCTGAACTGGGGGATACCCAGAGGGGCTGTGCAGGGCGACTGATGGCCCTCCTGATACTTCTCCTGGCTGATGTAGCCTGGTCTCAGGGCTCACAGGAGCAGTAAGGGGAAATGGGAAAGAGCTCTGGGTCAGCGAGCACACCTGAAGCTCATGGCTACACAATGCCCTGAAGCCTGTGGTGATGGTTTCCGGTCAGAGGCAGGTCCTGTCTCTGCACCCTGTGTTCCCCACCTCCTCAGCTTAGCTGCTGCCCCATCCACAAGGCAACCAGGAGGAGACCACGGTGCTTCAGGGACCACTAGCAACCCAGGTCAAGTGACTGTCTCTTGGTGATGTGAATTGCAGCTGGTGTTTACTGTGGGACCTCACTGCCAGCGTGGACAATGCAGGCAAAGGCGCAGAGAGAGGTTGGTGGACCCTCTGGGACAGGCAGCTCCTGCAAGGGAGCATTGCTGACAGTGGCTGGCTAAATCGTGGGCTTTTCTGTGTCCACACAGAGTGAGCCAAAGAAGCAGTGGCTTTTGCCGGGGCTTCCTAGGGAAGCCTCTCCTGGGAAGCCCCAGCAGCTCTGGTGGTGGATACTCTAACAGAGAGTTTTTCCCTTTCAGGCTCTGACATGGGCATCGGCAGCAGAAACAAAGATGCTGAGGTAAGAGATGTTTCCTGAGCTGGAATTGGACCTGTGCAGGAACATCAGCCAACCTGTCATGGTTTAAGCCCAGCCCGTAACTCAGAACCACGCAGGCGCTCGCTCACTCCCCCTCTTCTCTGTCCCCCTGCTCCCCGAGGGATGGGGAGGAGAATCAAAAGAATGTAACTCCCACGGGTTGAGACAAGAACACTCCAGTAACTAAGGTGTAACACAAACCACTGCTGCTACCACCAGTAATAATAATGATAAAGGGAATGACAAGGGAAGAGAATACAACCGCTCCCCACCGGCTTAATGGTTCCCAGCCCGACCAGAGCCGTGATCTAGCCCTTCCGGGTAACTGCCCCGTTTATATACTGGGCATGACGTGCTGTGGTATGGAATACCTCTTTGGCTAGTTTGGGTGCAGCGTCCTCTCTCTGCTTCCTCCCGGCTTCCCCTCCTCCCTGGCAAAGCATGAGACTCAGAATGTCCTTGGTCAGAGTAAACATTACTGAGCACCAACTAAAACCAGCGGTGTTATCAGCGCTGTTCCCAGGCTGAAAGTCAAAACCACAGTGCTGCACCAGCTACTAAGAAGGAGAGAAATTCCTGCTACGGCTGAACCCAGGACAACCTCGTGCTACCTGCACCCATTTTTCTAACAGCCACGGCTCCTGTACTTCCCTCTGGCCATTGCCTTTCTTTCAGCGTGGGGAGGAAGGGAAGCATTCACAAACCAGAAAGCCCTGTGTCTTGCTCCTTGCAGAGGGAATGGGCTGCTCTCTGACAACATCTGCTTTCCTGTTCCTGCAGGAATTTGCACGCCTTGTTGACAGAGCAAACCCAAAAGTTGCAGCTTCTGCTGGAGGAGGTGGCTCAGCTGGAGGTGGAGATAAGCAGTTTGAAGAAGGTAACCCTGCATTTTGGAGAAGAAGGCTTGGCTGGGCAGAAGCCCTGAGGAAGCACTACCTGGGATTAGTAGTGGGCTCAGCCTGCTGAGCGCAGCAAGCCAGCTTGTGCCAGGGGATTGCTGGGTGAGCTTTGGCACTGCCCAGGCCCTTCTCTAGGCCCAGGTTAACTGGTGCTTCAGGCAGTAGAAATCTTCCAGCATCCTTCCCTTGGCACGGGCACCTTTGGCTGCTCTGGCTGGGCCCTGAGCAGCAGGGAGACCCAGGCCCACTCCCATGGCCAGCCTTTGTGGACATGGCCTGAGCATGGAAGGTGGGAACAAGGGAGTGAGGACCCCATGGTCGTGGCCACATATACTGTGCTTGTGGCTCACGTCAGCTGCAGTCTCTCAGCTTACTGGACAAGGCTTGCCTTGTATTTCTGACACTGACTCTTTGCCTTTCTGGGCGCTGGTAGCCATGCTGAACTGACTGCTGAAGTGCTCATTTTCTGTGCTTGTTTGTGTCTTTCCCAGGAGAGGCAGGAGGTGAACCCGGCAGCACTGGAGTTGGCTTTGGAAGTCTTCGTCGGAAGATCTGACTGGGCCCTGAAAAGTTCTGGTATGGACACAGCAGCCCATTCTCCTTGCCATGCACTTGTCTGTAGCACTCCCCAAAGGAGGATGTCCTCCAGGTGCTGCTCTCCTAAGCAGGGGAGCTGAAAGCAGGGGAGCTTCATGAGGTCTGAGAGCAAGTCTGTGGCAGTGGCTCTCTTGGATTCCCTCCTGGTTCCGCCTCTGCGCAGGTGCCTCTGGCACTGTTCCCCCCCCCCCCCCCCCCCACACATTCCAGGGCTGACGGAGGGGCTCTCTTCCTCATCAATGCATTTGGAAAGAGAACGGATGCGTCATCCTTTATTGCCCACACAGCAAGCCCTCAGCTTTGGTCTGCCCTCATTCACCAGCACCCTCAGGCCTTCTACTTGTGGCGCTGAGAGGAGCAGACACCAGGCATATGGGTGCTGTCATCCTGCGCAGCTAGGCACCCCTACCAGCATGGAGATGAGGAGAGGACTGACAGACGTGGAGCTGTCCAGCAGCATCAGAAAGGGCGTCTGAGCACAGGGTCCTCCTACTCGGTGGCCTCGTGCAGTCACCTGCTCTCCCTTCCTTACAGGTGCCACCATTGACATGCAGAGAACTTCAAAGACCTATGACTGCAAAGAGAATTGGGGCTGCAGGGTTTTATGGTTCTTCCACACTCCCAACCCTCCTGATACGATTTTGGAGGTATTGTAGCAGAAACCACCAGTGCATGTTTCCTTCCTGAGAAGCTGGGGACTGACCTTGGGCATTGTCCTCTCAGTCCAGTGGTAATGCTCAAGCCCACAGTGCTGATCTGTTGCCTGAAGCCAAAGCTTGGACTCAGGGCTGGCCTCGATCGAAAGCAGTGGCTCCCCTCAGGAGGGGAACAGAGCTCAACTGCGGCATCTTGCCCAGAGTCCTCAGTCACAGCTGGGTGAACGACATTCTCCCTGGTGACCTCATTTCCATACTCAGCCCTAACAGTTCTTTTCTGGGGTGGGAGGCAGGGGGTCCTCTGCAGAGCCACTGGGCAGAGAGCTGTGTCTGTAAGGGCCTGACTAGGTTGGCTTAGTAACAGGTATTCTCCTCTTTTCATAATACTGAGAGGCTGCTGCTTTTGTCCATTTCCTCACACGTGCCTCATTTTCAAGCTGGACTAGACCCCCCAGACACACCAGCACCTGTGCTTCAGGCTACATGAGCAGCTGTGTTGAACTGAACATGGGCTCACGTTTCATTAACTCTCACGTTCTGATTGCAGCCGGATATTTCCCCAGGAAACTGCTGGCCATTACAAGGGCACCAGGGCCAGGTGGTCATCAGGTTGCGAGCACGAGTCCATCTGACTGCTGTCAGTGTGCAGCACATCTACAAAGAGGTCTCTCCATCCGGGACCGTCACCAGTGCCCCCCGAGACATCGCTGTCTTTGTAAGTCTCTGCTGGGTGCTTCTGGCTGGCATGGCCCTGGGGCAAAGCCGTGACTGGAACTTGCTTGCTTTGTGCAAGCAAGTCCTTGGAGATTTGTGTCCTGCTTTCTCCTAAGCCCTGCAGTGCACTTGCAGGATACTTCAGGGGCTCTAGGGGTTCCATCCCTCTCAAGACTCATTCTGGTGAGAGCACCTCAGGGCTCTTGAATAAAACACAAGGTTGAGACAGTGCTTAACTACTGCTAGAGCCCCAGGAGAGGCTCAGTAGACAACAGCCCATGCAGTATATGCTGATCCAGCACATACAAACATCCTCTTTGCCGGGACAAGTCTGAGCTTCTCTCCTTCCTCCTTGTGCTTTTCCCTTGAGGGATCGAATGCAGACAGAGAAGAGGAAACTCTCCTTGGGATGTTCATGTACAACGTGACAAAAGAGGCTATTCAAACCTTCCCTCTGAAGGTACAGTCTGTGCATGAAGGCAAGATGCCCAGGAGAAAACCAGCAGTGCCTGCAAGTCCGTGGCAGGAAGAGCGTGAATGCTCTCTCCCCTGGCGCAGGGGCCCAGACCACTGCCGAGGAGGCCTGGTGGAGCTGGGAGGACTGAGTAGCATGCGGTAGGGGTAGCAGCAACAGGTTTGCAAGGGCAGGGTTGCTCCTGTGGGAGCTTAAGTCCTGAGAGACCCCTGCTGCAGCTGCTGCCTTCAGCAGAGCCAGCTGCACACATGGCCTCTCCACCAAAGCAACATCTTCGTGCCAGGAGAAATAGGGATACCTGGTGGGGGAAGCTGCCGGGCAGCATTGTCGCTCCACCCTGTGGCCTGCTGACAGGCTGGACAGTGTCCTTTCCTCCCAGCACAACACGTCCCTTTTCTCCTGGTGCCCTCACACCTGCCAGGAGGAAGGCAGGCAGAGAGCATGGCGGGAGCTTAATGGACTTTCACACCAACTGTCTCACGCATAGGAGGACCTCCCCAGCCTCTCTGTCAGCTCAGAGCAAGCTGCAGAGGTAAAGGGGCAAAGGGAAGGGAGGCGCGGTCGCCAGCAGGCCAGGTTCCAGAGGATGTCTTCTCCCTTCCCGTGCCTCCAGTCTCTGCAGGAGCCCTGGTACCAGCAGTGAGCCTCAGATGCCTACAGCCACTCCTACCCACTTTTGGAAGCTTGTTCCTGAGCAGGAGCAGGGCAGGCAGGGGGAGAAACGTCAATTGCACCGTCACACTTAACACCTCAGTTTTCTTGTCACTCTCTTCACAGAACACGCACAGAGCCTTTGCGCACATCAAACTTATTGTGAAGAGCAACTGGGGAAACACAGCCTACACCTGCATTTATCGAGTGCAGGTTCATGGAAAGATGGAAGAACAAGAAAACCTCAGCTGAAACCAGACAAGAAAAAGAGCACAAATAAAAAAGAGAAATGAGGGAGGAGGGATAAATGGTTTGTCAGATCAGAGTGGTGTAGAGGATCTGTCTCTAAAGTAAGGTGTGCAGGAAGGTCCACTGGGGGATGGGTAGCAGCACCCGCTGACAGGGCTACAGGGCAGCCTGCAGGCAGCGGATGTGGGTCACCCACAACCCTTGGGACAGCTCCTTGGGGCTGCCAGGGGCTTGTGAGCTTCCTCTTTTAATTTCCCAGTAGCAGGGCTGGAGAAGCATTGGATTCCCCAGTGCACCATCAAAGGGCTGTGTGTGATGCCTGCCTTCTCCCGGGGGTGGTTTCAGGGGTGTGCAGCCAGCTGTGCAGCCAGGGGTACCCAGGGTTGTCATTTCAAGTAGGGTCCCTGCACCCCAGGGGCTGCGAGTTGGAGCAGTCTGGGTAAAGTCCTCTCCCTGCTGAAAGAGCCAGCACAGGGCAGCTGAGACCAAAGCTGATGGACAGGTGAGATCTTCTGAAAAACTCTTTGATATCTCGTGTGAATTTCATCTGACACAACACCTCCATACGCGCTCCTGCCGTGTTCCTCTTTCCTTACTGCTGGAGGGCAGGACTGGCTCTGCCAGAGCCCCAGCAGAGCCCCCTCCTTCCAGGGACACCCTCAGCCTGCACCAACCAGAGCTCATGGAAGGGACCTGCCAAAAGTCTTCCTGAAACCAGAGAAGAGGCAGTTTCAGGGTGTTCTGTGAGAAATGCATCAGGTTTCACCCAGAGAATTCTCCCCTAAATTGTCACTGTCTTTTCCCTTTTGGAAAGCCCCCCATAACAGGCTCAAGCAAATGTCCAGTGGCAGCTCCGTCACCCAATTCCTCCTTCTGCCATTTGCATGCACATGGGAGCTGCAGCTCTTGCATGTCTGACTCTTCCTCGGCATCTACCTGACTGTACTCCTGGGCAACGAACTCCTCATCACCACCACAGCTTGCAACCGGTGCCTTCACACCCCATGTACTTCTTCCTCCTCGACCTCCCCCTGCTGGACCTGTGCTCCATGTCCACCGCTGTCACTAAAGCCATTGCCAGGTCCCTCTGGAACACCAGGGCCACCTTCTTCCTGGGATGTGCTGCCCAGGTCCTTTTCTTTCTCTCCTCAAACACAGACGATTTTATCGTCTCACCATCACGCCCTACAACCACTATGTGTCCATCTGCCAGCCCCTGCATGACGGGACCCTCCTGGGCAGCACAGCTTTTGTGTCCACAATGGCAGCAGCTGCCTGGGCCAGAGGGTTCCCCAGTTCTCGGCTGCACACTGTGGGACTTTGTCACTTCCCTCTGCTAAGGCAATGCCCAAAGGACCAAAGCTGGGGGAGCAGAGTGGGTTCCTGTCCCCTCTCTGCCTGTTCTGGGACAGTTCTGCCACTGTCCAGAAGCTCTGGGAGAGCTTGGGAGCCCTTCCCTGAGGCCGTGTATGAGGAGATCGGTTACAGCTCAGCATGGAAGAAGCAGGCAAGGTTCAGTTGCTCATGTTCAGTGGCTCCCCTCCATGGGGCACATCTGCCAGGCTTTTCCCCCTTACTCCCCCATCCATGGCTGATCCCCTGCGCTGGGGTCTGCGGGCAGAGCAGCAAGGTCCTGGGCCCAAGAGTGGAGCTTCATCTCACCAGTTCTTCCTGTCCAAGCCAGGGACAGCCCCTGTCTGTGTGCTCCTGCCTGCTGCGTGACACCTGAGGGTTGAGGGAAGGTCCTGTCCCAGGGCAGCTCTGGGAGACCCGTTGAGACAGGGCTTGTCCCAGGGGAGCAGGGTGAGTCCTGAGCCCTCCTCCCACTCAGCCTTTTCTCTGTGGGTCCCCCCAGCAGCAAGCACAAGCTTCGTCACCAGAGCACATCCCATAACATCTCAAGGTTCCTATTCAAAAAGGTCCCCATCTTCTAAGATTCTAGGAGTCTTTCAGGCTGTAATTTGTGATTCTCTCTCCTTAAGTGTTGGTGCTCCAGGGGACTTGTCTGTGGTATTTAACCCATGGCAAAGGTCATGCAGAGCATCTGTGTTTCTGGCTACACCCTTCAGAGAAGCCACCTGTGTGCACTGCAAAGGGGAGTGTTGAGATGGGCTGTGTCCTTGGCGAAACCCCTGTTCCTGCGGGACACACAGCCCTGCCTGGGAGAGAGCATGTAGAGAAGGGCTGTGCTGCATTCACAGGGCAGTGTTTAGCTCCACTCAAGTGACATGATGCTCTCAGAGCTCTCTGCCTTGCTCACGCTGCTCCTCTCCCTTCGTCCTCACCTTGCTGGGTTTTGGCTGCGGCACAGACATGGAATGAAGACAGACAGTCATCCTCAGCCATGCACACCCCCTCGCACTGCAGCTGAAGGCAAGAGACCAGCTCTTGGGGAGTGTTTTTTATTAGACTCATATTGGAAGCAGTAGAGGAGCCATGTAGAGGGAATGTCGGAGGTCAAAAGAGAGAGCAGGTATTCCAAAACTGAATACAAGAGACTGTATAAAATGTCAGTGTTCAAATGTCTCCTTCATTCATCTTCTAGAAAAGAAGAGGCTACTTTATATTAAAACACGGCTCACTGTTGCTCTGTGGGAAGACATACTGACCCTTACCTGCCAGCACGTAAAAAAAATCAAGCCACTTCTAGAACTGCTCACTGTAATTTTATTTATGTCAGAAATTCCCAAATTACTCACTTCCAGGGTAACTGCAAGACATACCTCCTCTCTGGATTTTAAAGAGAAGTCTAGTAAGGACAAGGCCTGCTGCATGCAGTATGTTTTGGAATGAGGTTTTGGTTTTCCTCTACTTTTTGTTACGGAAGCTGCTGCTCTTTAGCAACAGCCTTGCTGAATTCCTCACCCTAGGGACTGGTGGTGAAAACACAAACCTAACTGGAGATCCTCCAGCTCTCTGGTTCTACTACAGTGCTCAGAAATAACCAAAAGACAGGGTCTACAGCAGCAAGAAGAAGAAAAAACTGATAAATTAATCCCTCTGGGTAGCCTAAATAAGTGTATAGCAGCATCCTTTAACAGCATGGTACAAGACCTCTCACCGGAGAAGATACATGCTCTCTACGAGCTGTTGGCTGAGCAGAGGAATTCCAGTAAAGCATGTTTTGGCAGTTTGGGGGCATCAGTAAGATGTAGCTTTTATTTTCTTCACGCTCAGATGTCCAGGCTGTGAACCTGTGCCACAAGCTACACACAGCATCATATCTAGAAGACATGTACCTTCCATTTGGAACATCTGGATTTCTCCTTTAGAATTAAAAAAAAAGTTATCTCTTTTGCTGAAGAAAGCGTTGTGTGGGGGTATTTTCTGAAAGACTGCAAAGCACCTCAAACCAAAATAGCAATTGTCTCTTACAGGAGTTAACCCTGCAAGCCGTGTGCACTCTGAAGGGTCCAAAGGAAGGCTATTGGCTTTATCCTAGCCCAATTTCAGCATAAAGTAGTAATGCAATATTAAATGAAAATGGTAACTGCAGTTACCTGAGCAAAACTGTTTTTTTGAGATACCAGCTCCTCTACTTTACAGGATTTAAGCTCCCTGCTTAGCTTGTCTCATGGGAAGTATCCTAAAGGTCAGTGTACAGGTACAGGACTTGAGTAAGGATTCGGTATTTTGCTCTTTGCTTGTCTTGGCTTTGTAGGGTTTCCTAGTGTCATGAAATGTGGAGGGAGCATCCAGTACCTCCCTGCGGTACCTGAATAGAAACTTCTAAGCAGCCGCTTGTAGATTTTACTGGAATCACTCCAATTCACCCTCAGGATACTCTCCCCACTACCAAAATCTTCTCCCTACAGCTCCTACAATTTTCCACCAGTGCTCTTATGTCTGCCAATGCTCCTTGCTCCTTGTAGGCAGCAGTTGGTTGCGTATGTCTCTTTTTTATTCATAAAACAGCTTTTTCGTGTTAGCTTTACTTCCTGTAAGAAACTGATATAGCAAATCTTGGACAGCACGGAGATGTGATCATAAAACTGACTCTCCATGGGATAATGCTGTAGGTGAGAAAGGGGAAAAGATCCAATCGTCTGTTGGTATAACAAGCATCTGCAGAGCTAGGACTCCACCAGTGCTGTTTGAAATATTTATCCAAACTGACGCTGTGTGCAGGCTATTTGCCTTTGTTTTATGACTGGAAGGTTAAAATATTGTAGTGAAGATAAAAGGGAAAAGGAAGATGTTAGAACCAGGGTCATGTAAGATAGATAATGTGTATTATGATATGGTAGCAATGTGTATTATGTGTGAGCAACCATACCGGGAGCTATCCCTCTGGTGGTTATATAGCATGTTACTTTAAATTCCATTAACGTCTGCTATTTTTTCCCTGCCCCTCTCAGGGCACAAAGCGAAGAGTGCTCAGACTTCAGTATTTTGTCTCGCTTCCTATGCTTAATGTGGGATACTAAACCATTTGTGTTGCAAATTACTCCCTGAATCTAGCATTATTGATTTCTTTACTTTCTTTTCAACGAAAGGCTTAATTACAGAATCTGTGAGTTTCACACACACACAAAATAATTAACTTTCATAAGATTTCCGTGAGATCAGCAGGCTGTGTTACGATCTGAGGTTCAGGGAGATTATGCCACTTAGAGGTACTCACTACTTTTGAAAGCCTCTTTTGGAGTTACTTGATGTGGTTTCAGCAAGTAAGAATGTTTTATGTGCAGCCTTTGCAGCATGCAACTCTGAGCACATGAGTTCCACAAATCACTTCCCAGGCGGTCAGAAAGGTCATCTACGCAGCGAGGTGCGTCCATTGATAAGCCAGTTTAGTGAACCTGGGTAGGTAACTGAGCACTGAACTGTGGAAAGAGCTGAACATCAGGTTGCCTGACAGAATAAAACTGTCGTGGATAGACTTGAAAGAAACCTCTATTAACCTCCATCCTGCCTCTTTTGCTTCTGCTTTCCCAAAAAGCTTTCACCTTTCTGATGGATCTTTTCAAGGTTAATTCATGGCAATTGCTAAATCCAGGTGTCATGTCAAAACTAACAAGGGAAAACAATCCATTACAGTTGGCAATTCCTAGCCCTGAACAAATGGACTTTTAAAAAACTTTTTTTCTTTTTTTAGGGTCAGAGTGCGTTAAGAAACAAAGTCATGCATTAAATTTGCTGCCAAGCCATTTGTAATTTCAGTCACTGCTAGTGAAAATCACACCATTTTTTATAATTACTTTCAGTAAG